CCTTACAAACGTTTGTGATGTTGTGACAGCGTACCCCCAAACTATGTAAACTCTTTAAAATATTTTTCAGTTTTTCTGTTAAACTGTAAAATTCGTCATTCATCTACTACTTGGAAGGCGCTAATTCGAAAATGACTATGTTTGCCCATTTTCAGGAATGTCACAGAAATCATAAAAAAAAATTAATTAATTTGACCAAACTTGGTCAAATAACTAATCTCAACATGACCTTTTTTATGGTAGTGTCAGTTTATCGATAGTTTAAATTTGAACTCGCCCCAGTTCCCTACACAACTCCGAAATGGCCAATTAGAGAGGTATAAGGCTTATTGAACTAAGTGTTCAGAAGGCTAGTAATATTTTAACAACACTGAATAATAATTAGGTGTAAATGCATAAAGTTTTGCATAAAGTTACACTGACTAGGTTTTTTTGTATTTTACTCAAAAGCAGGTGGAGGCTTTGTAATACACAAACGTTCAGAGTTCAGCCTAACCACAGTATATTCTATAAGCTGACAGAAATAAATAAATAAATAAATAAATATTGCTGGGGCGGTAATCGCAGACGTATCTCCCGCAGCGAGGGGCTAAAAGAGAAGGCTGTATTCACAGGCTAGGCGCATTTCGATCGTTTCTGTTTAAAAGGGCGCATCCTAGAATTTTTTATTGGGAAGTGGGGGGGGGGGGGTCCAAACTTTGGTTCAAAAAGGACTTTTGAATTTTTTTGTTGCAAATTACATCTTAGAACCACGTGTTTCTAAATCTGTGAACGACGGTCGCCGTTCACGCGGGAAAAACTGCTTTGCGAGCAGAGGCCAGCAGATCACAGGAGCGTATCCAAAAACAATTACGTTTTTGAATATCCCTGGAATTTAGTTAGTGGCAAAATGGAGCGAGCGTTTCATTAAAAAATCAGCCAGTTTCGATGTAAGAATTTCAGTCTCAAACAAGCGTCAGGTCTGATGGGGGGCTCCGGATCCCCCGGACTCTCCCCCCTGTACCCGCAACTGGTTTTTCCTTCAGCGGCCCTGGAGGCCCAGTGTCGTGCAGTGTCCTCTTTTGTTTTTGCCTCAGAATAGACTATAATGGGGTAGGCGTCTGAGAGGCCAGCGGCACATATCCATCAAAAGTTAAACCAAGTAACCCCCTCCTTTTGTTTTGATTGTTAATCATGGTAATCCGTGCTTCTGTAATTTTCTTATCTACTGTCTAACGGCTGTCAAGGTGAAGCCTTTTAGTAATCGTCCCTTTGCTCCTGCGTGTGTAGCCATGAGGAACGCGTTCAAGAAACTTTACCTCACTAGAAAACGTGTGGTGTTCAATGCTAAGAGCGTTCTCGGAAACGGCAGTGGTCTTGGTTATGGAGATTCGTATGACAATATCAAGGCCCTTGACTCTGTCTCTGTCTTCAGTCTCATCTAACTGTGAACTTTATATCGCATTCGAAGGGAATCCTATGCAAACCACGCTATCAAGTTAAGCCTAGTCATCAGCGTCTTTGGGCCGAACTAGATGTGAACTAAGCGCTGTTATTTTCGACTTGAAAACAGCGCCGCCTTATTGTTGTATGCAGGGGGTAGGTTATTCACGAAAAAGAAGTGAATTTAAACCAGGTGCAGGCCCAATACTGATGCTCAGTTTCTTGGTGCTGGTCATCTACAGAAAAAGAATAAGGATTAGAGCGCAGGCCCTTCATCAGATTAAGGAGCTGACAGATTGACAAGTTGGCAGGCTGAGAAGCTGATTGGCGGACAAACTGACGAGCTGACAAGGTGACAGACTGTCAGAGTGAAAGGCGGGCTGCCTGACAGTCTGACAATCTGGCAAGCGGTCAGGCTGACAGATTGAAAGATTGTCAGGAATACAGGCTGACAAATTGACAGAGTTGTTAGGCTGACAAAATGACAGGTGAAGAGTCGCACAAGATAACGAGCAGACAGGCTAGCTCAGTGATCGGCTAAAATTTCAATAGGCTGACAAATTGACAAGCATGTTAAGCAAATTGACAAGCATGTCAGTTTGTCTTTGACAAAATGACATGCTGAAAAGTTGACAGAATATAAAATTGAAAGACAGTCTGTCTGACAGGCTGCCAATCTGGCAAGTGGTCAGGCTGACTGATTGAAAGGCTGTCAGGAGGACGGAGGCTGACGAATTGGCAGATTGACGACAGAGCTGTCTGGGTGTTAAAATAACAGGCCAATAGTTAAACAAGCTAACGACTGGTTTAAAGGCCAACTTTTCGTTAGGTTGACATACTGACAAGCTTACAAACTAGATGCAAACAGGTTAATAAGTTGAGGAGCTGTAAAGCTGACCTTGCTGCCAGTTTTCTATCTTCTCTCGGAGTGTCAATTTTTGACTAAAGGATGAATGGCATGATTTGTAGTGATAGTTGGCATAAATACCACGCGTGATATTTCAAAATTGTTGTACGTAATTCCACGAGCTGTTAGCCGAGTGAAATTTGAGACAATTTTGAAATATCACTAGTGGTATTTATACCAAATGTCACGTACAAATCACGCTATTATTTGTTTATATTACTACCGAAATGTAAGAGAATATCACATTTTCGAGCCTTCAAATCTAAACGCAGGTGGTAAAGTTGCGGATTGGTCTAACGGAGTCTGTTGGGGGATAGGACCTAAACATTTTAAAGACAGTGTATGTATTTTATCGGGAATCCAAATAAACCACAAGAAGAAGAGATGATTAGTTGACATAAATTTCACCAACTTGGCTAACATTAGAAACATTGACATGAAAAACACTGGAAAATCTCTTGGTTGTAAGTGCGAATAGAAATGTAAAAAAAAATAATCAAGCCTTTGTCGGCCCATTACCGGCTCAGCCACATTAAATTATCGACTAAAGTAATAAAACAATATGAAAAAATGTTGATGGCTTTTACAGGTTACTTAAAACTACCCGTGAACTCAAGCTCCTTGAACATACCTCAAAAGAACTTCCTCACTTCTTTTTCCTCATGCAGTTTTGCTTACAAAAACGCAGTTTCATTGCAAATGAAAAATTAACAACACCTTTAAAACACCTATTTTTAGAGCGAAATTATGTCATGCGGAAGTCCGTTGTTTGGTTTTTGTGATTTTTCCGATCTAAGACGTTACTGTGGTACAGTATTTATCGGCTTTGATACTGCCGTTGATCGTCAGTCTTATTAGGCACTCGAGAATTATTATCATCGCCATCATCTTTCGTCACCGTCATCGTCGTCCTTCTCGTCCATTTTCTCACCATTTCTCTCCTTACAGGGGCTCAAGTTGGCAATAGAAAGACAAAAATGACCAACCTGGAAAGTCAGTTTAAAACTCACTTTAATCAATTCCCACTTCCGATTATCATTAGATATTCAGGACCCTCTTCTTCAATGTCGGGGAAACCATGCAGACCAGATTGATGACGACTGCACGCAAGCTGTACGGCGCTTCTCTTACCCATTTCGACATACTCTTCAGGATCGGTTCTCTCCAATGAAAAATGGCTTGTGCTGCTACGGGATAGGGTTTCATACGACAAACCACAAACTCTACCATTTAGCCGCAAACGCTCCTCGTTTTCACCTTCATCTGATGACTTATTCTTTGCACTTATGTTTTCGTAATGTTTATCAGGGGAGATTGCAGGTGATCTGAATTTCCCGGTTTCGACGAGAACCAGATTTCCAGGGCCTTCTTCTTCTTTGGATAAGCCATTGCGACCATATTTATCTGCACTATCTGCAAACCCCCCGCCTCGTGTCTTTCCCATTTCAACATACTCGTCAGGATCTGTTCCTCTGTTCGTGTCTTCGTAATTTTTATCTATATAATTGGCTTCTTCAACAGATGGTGGTAATTGTTGATTAGCAGAGGCATCATAACCGAGGCATCCGAGAGAGGCATCAGCGGGAACGCACCCCGTTCTTGTAGTCCGCGAGATTAAAGAAGGAGGTGTGATTCCTACAGGATTTGCGTAAGCGTAATCATAAGTTCTCTCGGAGCAAGAAGCTCCCCCCATCATCATGTATCCAGTGTCACTTTCCACAGAAAAGGACTGTGGATAGTAGAGAAAATAAATAAATAAGCAAAGAGATAAATGAATAAAACAAGATCAAAATTTAACAATTTGTTACCTGTACAGGATTTGCGTAAGCGTAATCAGAACTTCTCTCGGGGGAAGAAGCTTCCTCCATTATCATGTCTCCAACATCAGTTTCCCCGGGTGAAGACTGTGGACGTTAGACAAGTAATAAAAAATAAATAAATAATAAATAAAAGAATAGAAACAGTAAATATATAAATAAATGAATGAGAAGAACAAATAGAATCAGCTTATACCCTAGCCTTGACTGACTCAGCCAATCCCCCTTTTGTGACTATGATATTGAAAACAGGCAATCGGAAAACTTGTGATTTCACTTTCTTCTCACTAACAGCAGACAACTATTGAACCGTGAGAACGAGGAATTATTCCCAGAGTCTTCCATAAACAAAAAGTTTGCCATAAGTTCTTAAACATCGGCAACACGAAAGACTCGTTATCATAAATGTCAAGGTGATATTAAATATTGATAATTTACTTTAAAGGCGCACCTGCGAAATTTGTTGGCTGGAAATTGTGCCTACAGAAGAAATAAATGTGGAATTAAGAAGAGCTTCATTATCAACATATGTGATTGTATGTTTCAAAGTTGTTTTCAGATTGCCCCTCTGCTCGATTTGCATTGTGAGGACAGTCATATGTGATCATGCTGTTTTGAACTGATTACAACTCGATTGTAACTAAAAATTTAAAGTCACCCTGGCGACTACATATTTTAAAATATTAATGTTAGTCAAAGGCAAAACTCAGTGTTTTACCAAGTTCGACCGCGAACCTGGAGACTGTTTAGACTTCAAAAAAGTGCCAAACGTTAAGATTAAAAAAAAAATGTCTGCCAGCTCGTAACGAAAATTTTACTCTGGTTGACAGTTTTCTTACTGCATGATGGTAGCTTTATCTTCAAGCTACTGCTTTACTCGAATTACTGGCTGCTATGACCTTATAGAATACCTGGCGCGGATCCGGGTTTTCAGCATAGGGGGTTTGAACAAAGGGGCCTCCCTGTAGGGGGGTCCGGGGGCATCTTCCCCCGGAAAATTTTGAAATTTCAAGTCCTCGGAAACGCGATTTCCGCCATTTTGAAGCAAAGTCAGCGTGTTTTAACATCTCATTTTTAAAGTTAAAATGCCATTCTTTTTGCATCAAAATATAACAAAGCTGAGTAGAAACGATGCAAATTTGCATTTATAAATCTTATGATCAAAATATACTGCATTTTATCTTTTTTCAATTTTGTGTTTCGTCAAAGACGGAATCAACAACAAGCATTCTTCGGGGGTATCTTTCCGCAAAAAGCTGAACCACAGCATCGTAGTCAACGGGCTTTTCGTAGTGAATGTTCATCAGAGCCAAGCCCGACAGTCCTTCCGTTGTCATGGTGGTGCGTAAATATCCTTTGACAAGCTTCAAAGTACTGTTTGCTCGCTCGTTGTCGGCTGAAGTGATTGGCATAGCACAAGCAATTCGCAGCAAACAGTTAATGTTAGGGAAAATGTCGGAATCACAAGCCCTTTTACAAGTTTTGACGTTAGCTCTTCTAATTTAGGGGGTTCGATCGACCCCCCCGGAACCCCCCCTCCCTAGATCCGCCCCAGAATACGAGTACGTTCGCCATATCAGGGAGGGATTGCCATAGTATATCTTTGTATTAACATGAATGTGAAAAAGATAGAAAGTTACCTTCAAAGAGATGATTGGGACGTTCTTTCTTTCTGTAAGGTGAAAGGTAACCAGAGAAGGTTTTCTTTTATTATTTCTTTATTATTTATTTTTTCCTTTATGAGTTACGTTGTTTTGTCTTGTTTAAGCATCTTTCAAAAAGCAAATTAGGCTTTTTACACTGTAACGGCCATATGTTATGCTAAAGAGTGTACGAGTATTGCCTGACAAAGCAAAAACGTACCACTGAAAATGTTTTGGTAACCTACGTCTTCTACTGTATCGAAAGTAATAAATAATATACCGAGTACTGGACATCGATTATAATTTTGTACGTTTTATTCTAGCACATCTAGTCAGTACCTGTTGATGAGTACGACTTACATTATTCCGTCAGTGCAGTGACATCGCTTTTATTAGAGACCTTTAGCATCACGTTTTTCATGGGAAATTGCAAACCGCAAACCGCAAAATATCACGTGACCACGGCCTCGCGGTCACGTTTGCAGTTTGCAGCGGTAAGTGATTTACGGCAAGGTTTTTGGGCGTCTGGAAAAGCCGGAAACCGGAATCCGGAATAGGAACGGGAATGGGAACAGGAACCGGAACCGGAACCGGAAACGGCGAAGGAACAGTAACAGCAATGTGAAGGGGAACCGATACAAGAACAGGGACATCATTTACTTTAAATTATTTTAATTCTAATTCAATTTATACAAAAAATAAGAAAACTAGTCTGGTATCATGCTCCCCC